GCCTACTGGACACAAAAGCAAGAAGAGGAGCAGACGTTGGCTCAGACCACTATCTCGTACAAGGGACAATCCAAATCAAATTAAAAGCTTTCAGGGAATCAGGAGCTGCAGATAGACCACAAGCCAAGTTCAACACTCAAAAGCTGAAGGACCAGGCTACAAAGGACATCTTCATTGCAAGCATAAAGGACAAAGCTGAGATACAAATCAACACCAGCGAAAAGGTCAGCGTCGAAAAGCACTGGAACAACTTGAAAACGGTGTGGAGCCAAACCTGCATAGAAATTCTAGGCAGAAAAAAGAGACAGGACAAACAGTGGCTCACTACGGACACTTGGAAACTAATAGAAGAGAGAAGGACAGTGAAGCAAAAGATTATCCAGTGCACTGACGAGCAACAAAAACAGGAGCTGAATGCAAGCTACAATACACTGAACAAAAGAGTGAAGAAGAGTGCCAGGGAAGACAAAAGAAAATATTATGAAACCATGGCAAACGAAGCAGAACAAGCTGCAGGCAAAGGAGACCTCGCCACACTCTACCAAACAACTAGGAACCTTTCGGGCAAACGTTCGACACAGATTAAGCCAATAAAGGACGACAATGGAAAGTCAATCACCAAAGAGGTGGAACAGAGAAAGCACTGGGTTGAACACTTCAAAAGACTTCTAAATCGTCCGCCACCTACAACACGTCCAGCAATACCAACAACGGAAGCAGAACTACCAGTGAACACTGACCCCCCGACGAAATCAGAAGTCCTGAATGCAATCAAGATGCTTAAAGCTGGGAAAACACCGGGACCAGATGGAATCCCAGCAGAAGCTTTGAAAATAGACCCAGAGACAACAGCGGACTTGATGACACCACTGCTGGAGAAGGTGTGGAAAGAGGGCAAAGTACCCGAGGATTGGAAGAAAAGTTACTTATTCAAACTTCCAAAGAAAGGAGACTTAAGTCAATGTAAAAACTGGCGTGGAATTATGCTTCTGTCCATTCCAAGCAAGATACTAAGTCGCATCATCCTGGAGAGAATCAAACAAGCCCTAGATGAAAAACTTCGTCCGGAACAGGCTGGATTCAGGAGAAACAAATCATGTATTGATCAAATCGCCACTCTACGGATCATCATTGAACAAAGCTTGGAATGGCAGTCACCTCTCTATCTCAACTTCATCGACTTTGAAAAGGCCTTCGACAGCGTCGATCGAGAGGTCATTTGGAAACTACTTCGCTACTACGGGGTCCCATCGACAATTATACACCTCATCCAACAGTTATACGACAATGCTGCATGCCAAGTAATCCACAACGGGAAACTTACGGAAGCCTTCGAAGTGAGGACGGGAGTGAGGCAAGGCTGTCTACTATCACCAATGATCTTCCTGATTGCAATTGATTGGATAATGCGACAGACAACGGCAACCAACGAGGGAACAGGCATAAAATGGACTGACACAAAAGACTTGGAGGATCTGGATTTCGCCGATGATATATGTCTGATTTCCCATAAACTGGAAGATATGCAAGTGAAAAGTAACAAGTTGGCAGAAGAAGCATCAAAGATAGGACTTCACGTGAACATAGATAAAACAGAGATGATGAAGATTCCTGCCAACATCAACAGCCACAGCAACAACAACAGACAACATCAGCATAAATGGGAAGAACCTGAAAGAAACAACCTCCTTCACCTACCTGGGAAGCATCGTCTCAACTACAGGCGGAACTGACGAGGACATCAAAGCCAGAATCGGAAAAGCAAGACAAGCTTTACTCTCAAATCTGTGTGGAGGTCAACAGCACTCAGCATCAAAAATAAGATCCGGATTTTCAACTCCAATGTGAAGTCAGTGCTACTATACGGATCAGAGACTTGGCGAGTCATAAAGAGCATCTCAAACAAACTTCAAACCTTCATTAACAGTTGTCTTCGCTCAATACTCAAGATCAGATGGCCAGAAAAGATCAGCAACAGGGATCTCTGGCAATGAACGAACCAACCAGGAACCGATTGTGCAACAAATAAGCAGGAAGAAATAGAGATGGATTGGCCATAGTCTGAGGAAACCATCAAGTGACATCACTAGACAAGCCATCGCTCGAGTGGAACCCGAAAGGGAAGCGGCAAGTTGGTCGTCAGTGCGAGGGTGACTTGGGGGAGGTCATGTGAAGAGGAGATGAAGGTGAGTGGGCAGACTTGGAGCAGGGTGAAAAAGTTGGCAGAAAACCGAAGGCAATGGAGACGCGTGGCTGAAGCCCTCTGTTCCTCTAGGAACTAAAGGATACAATAATAATAATAATATTAGCATGATTTTCTGAGACCTAATGCAGGTTTACAAAATGTACTTTTGAAGGTTTTTTAGCATCCGTTAGATCTCCTATATGATGCCATCAATATTTCTAGGCACTGTAATACTTGATAGTGTATGGGCGGTGAAAAGCGGTCTTGTCTCATCCTCTTCGGTTGAAGTATATCAAGGGTTATTACTACTTTGAGAAGAAAAAGAAATATTATTCACTCCTTATCCTCAAGAATAAGGAGATTATGTTCCAGTGATACAATCGATAGAGAACTGGGGCTACTTAGACAAGTACTCATATATAATGGATATCCTCCAAGATTTATCGAGAAAAACAGAAAAAGATAAGTGAAAAGCCTGAAAGAATCCAGACGGTGCCGAAGAAACTGCTATTTATGAGTGTTGAATTTAAAGGTGATACCACAGCTGAGATCCTGAAGCATTGATTATGCAGATCACTGAGTAAAGCCTTCTTTATGGCTGAGCTACGTATCAATTTCTATAGCCGACAAATGATCAGTGGATGTGTGAAGTCTCTTCGCTGAATCACTTGTTTTGATTTTCTAGATGTGTGAAGTATAAACTGCCACTTTGGGCCACCTCATTGTGCGTTTATAAATTCACATGCTCGTGTAGAGCTAGTTATATTGGACGCCCGAACAAACCGAACGCTTTCCAAATGCATTTCTGAACAATATCCGGCATAGTTAGCAAAGGGACAATGCAAGACAATTACTAGCTCAATTCTCGAGCATTTGGTGAACTCAGACCACATAGCTCCACCAGAGTCATCTTTCAAGATCATCTACAAAGCGAAGCCAAATGGTACAAAAGGCGTCAGGTTTCGGCTTTTGTGTATGGCGGAGGCGCTGGCAATTCGTCAATACAACCCTGAACTCTGTATACAGAAAAAGTTTGTCCAGTCTCTTATTCTACCTTGATCTTCACCTCTTCACTAATCGTTCATTGTAAATAAATTTCGACCTTTTCATTTCTTTTTAATTTTACTTTTAGTCTCTTATGCTTTAATAGTTAATTCACTATTGTCAATCTCATATGCTCCTTCTGTACATTTCACACTTGTTAAATTGACACTCAAATACCTTTATTCTCACTCAATAGCAATTTTAACCTTATCGAATTTCTATCTTTGTTCCGTTGAGTACCATGTAATTTACAATTTTAATTTTTACTTCTAAAGCCACTTATGATTAATTATATCACGAGCCATCCCCTATTACTCAATAATAGACCACTATATATTTTTGTTAGTATAATGAGTATTTCCTGTTCTAGGTAAAATCAGCCCAGTCCTTTTCGGTACACCCATAATTTTCTCTGGTTCTTATTATTACTTCCTTATCTTTATACGGAAGATGATCATTTATTCAAACTAATATCCTAGTATATAAGTTCTTAAAATACGAATACATCAACCTTAAAAAATGGAGCTGCTTTTCAATCCAGAAGCTTCTTGCTGAAGGTAATGGAAATAATCTAAAAAGTCACTCATCTGTTAGTGAGCATTTAACATGTTAATTAAGATAAGTTGTTTCACAGAATTTGTTTTATGATCACCTATGAATGAGTAGCATTTGTTCTTCATGTTGGTGAGCTAAAGAAACTACCCGTGCTATGAAGAAGTATAGTGTCTGCAAACAATACGTGACAGGACATGGCTAAAAAGATGAAGATATATTTAGCCAAAATATCATCGTTTGATGGTATTTTACTTATCACTTTATTTGAGCGCAAAATATTTCCTTAATTGTATTACTTCTTAATTTTTTCAATGGGAAGAAGTGTATGGGGGTTTTATTGATATGCATAACACTTGCATTGTAATTTTTTGTACATACAACAGTAGGCGAAGATACTTCAGCGAATTTATTACCAAGTAGTACACTCGTATATACATATGCATTTATCAAAAAACTACTGTATCGACAGAAGACGAAAGAATTGGTAAAGGGATATTTATTTACAATTCGGTACCTCTATATAGCGAAATTATTTTCACCTTACCTTCAAATCACCATTTGCACAGATCTTTCGTGTTGTGCTACTTCTCGCCTTCATATTGTTTTCCTTTCACATCCCTCATGTGTCTCCACAACTCTGTATCATTTGCTTTCTCTGACATCAAATCTCTTTCCCTGATATTTGATGTTTTCTGTGGATGAAAATTTCGTTACATACTACTGATAAATCTTATCAGTAACACAGACCAGAGGAAATTTAAACCATAGGTATGAATGCAAATAGGACTGGCTTATTTTTCGTATTTTAACATTTCTAAGATTATTGGATTCGTCTTTATTAATCGACTTTTATAGTTACAGTAGCAGAATGTTCCATGTTATTAACTGGATTTCTTATCGAGCTGTGAGTGACAGCTGTCCACAGTAGAACGAAAGAGTCATTCAGTGTTCTTCAGTTTTGAAAGATTCTTCTTGTTAATATTTATTCTCAACATAATCCAAAACCAAACTGTCAAAATTAAGAGAAATTAGATTAGTTGGCTTCCTTTATTTCTAAGTAAAAACACAGTTTTTTTTGTTCAACGAAGAAATTTCTTTTCAACGACTTCATTTTCAAGCTGTACAGTCATATTTATATTACAGAAAAAGGTTATTAAGTGGCACTAAATAATTGCTCAGTCAGTATACATATATATGTCATAAGAATAACGATAATTAAAATGTCACAAGGGGTAGAGTTAAAGTGGATAAATTACAAAATTATTAAAGATTGTTTTATAAGTGAATTGATATCAAAAATGTCAAGTGTTGTCTACAAATTTTAAAAATTAGGAGTACGATTACGATAAGAATGAAGATGAGAAGTGAAGTGGAAAGAATTCAAGTGGTAAAATAAAATAAACACTAGAAAGAACATTACTATAACCAAGGTAAAGAAAGGGGTTTGACAAAACGCTTTTGAACACATAATTTAGGTTTCTGTTCATGTATAGCTAGAGCTTCGGCTATGCATAAGTGAAGAAAACGCAAACTTTTGGATCGATTCGATTTTGCCATGTAGATAACTTTGAAGGATGAATCACGTGGGGCTGAATGACCAGACTCTAACAGGTGATCACAAATAGACGACTTTGCAGTTCTAAGTTTGCCTTTCATTAACCAAACCGGATAGTGTTCAGCTACACGTTTTCGGAGATTACGCTTACAACGTCCAGTATAATCAGCTCCACAAGAGCAGGCAAAAGAGTAAATGCACATAGATGTGAACAAGAGCGGTAATCAATCCTTGACTCATTGTCTAATCATATTTCGGCTGGTAAAAACTAGTTGCAAGTCAGCTGCAGGAAAAGTGCGTTTAATACATTTAGATCAACGACTTTTAATCAATTCCGAAATGGTGTCACCTTTGAATGACAGACTCATAAACAGTTTTTTTTCTTTGGTACTGTGGTTTGTCTAGGGCGGATTCTTTCTTGATGTTACGTTCAATGAACCTTGTGGGATAACCATTGTTAAGGAGATTTGATCGAAAGTTATCTAGTTCACAATCGACTGTCTCTGTAGAGCAGATTTTACGAATTCTGGAGCATAAGGAATGAATAAGATTTCTCTTTCTCCCTAAAGGCACCCAACTGTTGAATTTAGTGTACTGCCCAGTGAATGTTGGCTTTCGGTAAATCAACCTTGACTTCGTTCCATTCTCTCTTCTATCTAGCTTAATATCAAGGAAGTGAAACGAGGAATTTGACTCTTCTTCGACCGTGGAAAGCAAAGATGGTTGAGAACCATTAAATATACCAAGACGTTTGGCAGTTGAAGAGTTTTCATCACATGCAATGAAGGTATCATCTATATATCTTTTTTACATAAACAAACTATCGATGGTTTCCTTTAGTGGGCCATTCTCTAAGCTTGCCATGAAGATGTCCGCTAAGAGCGGTCCTAAAGGAGACCCCATGGCGACTCCATCCCTTTGAATGTAGATGACTTCACTAAATCTAAATTGCACACTCAGTGTGCATCTCAATAAGAGTTGTTTAAGATATTCAATTGGTAAGCCAATGTTCATGCTATTTGAATGAATATACTCGCATAGATAGCAGATAGTGTCTACTAGTGGTACATTTGTGAACAATCAACAAACATCTAACGAAATCATACGCTTACCGGTCACATTAATTTCATCAGCTGTTCAGTCAGTGGAATTACGTAATAGTAGTGGTCATGATAACTGTCATTATTATGGACTCGTAAAATATGACTCATAACTTTTCATACTTTTATAAACTATGTTGTGTTTATTGAATAACATTTAACAATTCTACTTCATCGACAGGTTATTTTCCAGTAGACTGATTCATTTATGAAGATTCCGTCAACTTACTGAAATTGAAGCTCTTGAACCAATTAATTTTGACTATTATTATTAATACTCTTTGTGGATGACATCAACAAATGATAGTTTAAATTTACAATGAATAATTTTCATGGACAAATGACGTGTCTTATAAATAACTGAATGAATAGTATGTATTATGAAATGAATGACATATGCGGAGAAAGGAACTAAATATGTCTGTACACATGTTCACACAGTGTGCCTATATGCAAGTTCACATGTGATTCAGTTTCAGCTAAATTTTGTCCACCAGTAATTTTAATTTAACATTGTATATAAATAATAATAATAATAATGATAGTAATAATAATAACACCTCATAATAGTTCAACAACTTCCATTTTCAACTGAAACTCTCTAATCTAGCAGTGTATCATTCAAACGATCTAAATGAATAATACAAGTATCTTGACAACACTAATTATTGTCATCATAGTTTACCTAAACTTGACAACAATAGATGCTAAACCATTTATTACCAAGATTACGAAAAATGTAAATGATGATATAATTAATGATAACGATTATAATACTGGCGATAACAATGAACTCACATCATATGATGAAATAAGAAGAATTTTTCAAGAAGATCCAATACATGATAAACAACCCACCAAAACTACATCATCACCTATGACAACAACTACAGTTAAACCAGAAAAAGAGGAGGAGGAGGAGGAGAATGACTTAGGATTGAATGAAGCAGATGATGAATCATCACCTTGCAGTGGTGGAGGTACAATATTCACTTACACAATACACAGCACTGATGAAGATGATGACAGCCAAACAGATTCAGGAAGACAGGATTATGATACTGTTGGTGCAGAAGAGGATTATGACTACTATCAAATGATTCCATGGTTTAGAAGAGACCAGAATCGTCGTCCTTCAAGAGGATCTTATCGCAAACCTATGCGTGGTACATGGTACTCATCGGATCATTATTTTCCATTCTATATTCCACATTAATAATTAACGCAAAGTAAAGATATTTACTACATATTCTATGTTAATCATTATATTCTGGCTAATAAGACAATATAGTGTTGATTACTCATCTTTATATATAATATAATGTCATTAGTTAAAAATGGTAGCCTTCTTTTTTAACAATATAGACTGTTAGCTGTTTAATGTAATCTAATATTTTCTCATAGAGTGTTGAGTAAGATTTACAATTCATGAAAAGTATATTAGTTAATTTATAAATGCATACAGAATTCAAGAGAGTTTCTGAAATATTTACCAACCAATCATTGTAACTCAAAAGTGAAATCCCTAATAATCAGTTGGTCATAATCATCGATATTTGTTACATGTGGCCTAGGTGAATTCTAGCTCTACTCGGTGACGTGCATCATAGCGATCTAACAAGTCTATTATTATTGTTCCCTTGGGTTCCTAGTGGAACATAGGGCTTCAACTGCACATCTCCACTTGCTTCTGTCTTTTGCTGTACTTTTCACCTTCATCCATGTTAGTCCATACTGTTTCAACTCCTCTTCACACGATCTCCTCCATGTCACCCTTTCACTGACATCCCACACGCCGCTTCCCTTTCGAGTTCCACTCGAGCAATGGCCTGACGCTTGATGTCACCCAGCGGCCTCCTCAGCGAGTGGCCAATCCATCTCCACTTTCTCCTGCATATTTGTTGGTTGGGTGATGGGTTCTTGTTTTGTTTGTTTCCATAGTTCCTTGTTGGTGATTCTTTACGGCCCGGCCATCTGATCTTCAGTATAAAGCCAGCGAAGACAGTTGTTAACAAAGGTCTGCAACCTTTTGGAAATATTCTTTGTGACCCACCCGCCAAGTTTCTGATCCGTATAGAAAGAAGAACTGACTGACTTGACGTTTGTATTGAAAATCCTACCGAATTTTGTTGTTGATACTGGCTGAGTGACGAAGATTTCCAGATTGGTTTCAGGTTGGTGAATGTGTTTCTCGCCTTCCCGATTCTCGCTCGATTTGACATCCTCATCCGTTCCGACTGCCTGTAGTTGAGACAATGCTCAATGCTAGATAGGTGAATGAAGTGACCTCTTTCAAATCCCTCCCGTTGATGGTGATTGACGCTGGATTTTACTGCTGTTCTTGTTGTTGGTTGGTTATTTTCATAATAAGTCTAGTTCAAGATTATTTATGAAAGTAATAGATTTATATGTCATCTGAACAAACAACTTGAAATGTTAAATTAGGCTTACAACAAGACTCATTTTGCCAATCATAACTGTTTTACTATAACAAGCTTTTTTTCAAATAAGGAATACGCAAACAAGTCGTTTACATACTAAAGAATTTCCACAATTCTTGGGTGATTTACATTATCCAGACAGAAGAAACGAAGGTCTTCCTGAATTATTCAGAATATTTAACCCCAAGATAATTTAAATAACATATATTTAGTACTTATGCGTAGCCAATATTATATCTTGTTCCTCAACTCTGACCAAAGTACTTCAGTTACGAAATATAACCTTGTGTATAAGCTGGATGGTGTCAAACCAGAACTGTTTGACTTCAGCTCCAAATAATTTAAACAGAAAGTAATCTAATCCACACGTGCTTCTATTTTCACGTTTTACGAAAACCTCATAGTCTGACGAGTTCATATTATTTCTGAAAATCAAAACTATATGATATTACATGTTCTAGTTCAAACTTCGACTATCCAAAGTTTCTTTGCAGTCCAGTTTTGGACATCATTTCGAGCATTATCTTCAATGCGCCATACTATGAAGGAGAATTTATTTTGTTCTGCATGACTGCTCATAAATTTAATTATTCATAGGATTTTATAACTACAAGAATTTTTGACTAACTTTATTTTTTGCTTTGACTGAATTGTCAAGATGAATTCAGCTTCTTTAGACCGTCAGTCATCAAACTAGACAATAACTGTCTTCATTAACAATCGCAAAGATTGTGACAACTTTTCTCACCGTAAAAACAAATTAATATGACTTCCCCATTTGACGTCAAAATCTGTGCAAATAAAATCTCTGATCCGAAAAACAATCAAATTATCCAGAACCGTTAAAAAAAAGCCTTAAAATAAACTCTGGTGTTAAGTTTTCTCACCTCAACCAAAAGACAAAATCTGATATTTACTGAGTAATAGTCGAGTTTCGAGTATAGTACAGTTTCTTAAAACTAACAAATTGAAGGGAAGATTTCATTCGTATTACCCTCCACCTATTGTGATTAAGAAGAAAATTTTAGAAGTGATAGTTCGTTTTATTATTTTTATGCAGCCTCCATTGGTAAGTCTGTAATCTGAGATTTTGAATTCTCCCTCTAAATTTGTCCAGCTTGAACAGATCTTTTCCTTTACTTTCATATTTGTTATGTAGCCTATTAGACTGCATCATAAATTACTTAAAATAATCCCAACTCTCGAATTGTTCTAGGGAATTTGTAACAACTGTGGTCTGGATATTTATGATCTTTTGAGACTGTATGTCTTCACGTGCAGTGTTGCCAAAAACGTTGACAGACTTGTATAAACATCAAATATCTGTAAGCTTAATACAAATATAAAAATTTCATCAAGTGAATAAACCGAGCCACTAATATACTGACTATCAGCTTAAGGACCAAAATGCTGGTCTGAACAATTTGTATATCTTTTATGATTTGCTTATTACAAAGCTCTTACATTTCTTTTTCTATTAGATTTCCATCTAGGAGTAATATTTATAAAAAAAGTACATGATATTAGCCAGTATGAGAAATTAATTGTGCGTCGGTGCTATAGCGGTTAGGACGCTCGCCGACCATTCACATGGCCCGGGGTTTGATCCCCGGCCACAGACGCACTCCTTTACCTCGCTGAGCCAGAAATAATGCTGGTAAAGAGGAAAGGTTGAACATGAGGCTAGCAACCCCATCCTGTAAAATAAACATTGCTACAGAAACTTCAAGCCACTAGCTTGAAGCCCTATGTTCCACTGAGGAACGTGAAGCAAAAAAATTAAAAATTAATTAAATTAAGAGAAATTAATTAGTGGAAGATTAGGAAGTGTTTCCATTCTCTCTAAGGGATTTAATCTAATTGATATAGAATATCTACAGTAGCCTTCCAGTGATAATGATGACAAATATCAAACTGGAACGTCTGTTGACTAAATTCTCAACTTAAAAACTATTCGATCTGAATAGCAAACTATTCGTGTATTTTCGACTTTTTTTCCATTTCTTCACATTTCTGATGGGAAATAAGGACTTCAAACTTCCGCTCTGAAGTTTCAGTAGAGATAGTGCTGTTTTATTTCAACGGAGGGGATTATTAACTTCACGCCTAACCTTCTGTCTTTAACAGGCTTACCACTGACTGACCAAGCGAGGTCCAGGAGTGCGTCGGCCAGGAATCGAACCTGAACCATTATTTAACCTCAGTTCAACTGCATGTCAACACTATAATCTAAATAATGTACCTGCATATAAATAATAAAATTATAAATATATACATGCCGAATTAACAAGTTCCCTAAGGGGTTAAAACAAACAAGAATCTAAGTATTTTTCCCGTTTAGAAAATGCATAAAGAATGCCCGATAGGATCCAGTCTAGAAAGTAGATTTGAGCTTTGGTTGTAAACAGAATGCAAAAAATCTTATGTGATTTTTAAAATGACATTTTAAAATACAAGTTCCTTGATCGATTGGTGCTTAAATCAAATATATGCATATATCTCACTGCTGCCTTCAAAAAACTTTTAATTAAAGAAATTTAACCACAACTCTAAATCATTTGATGTCAGTAATTTCATGGGGACAAGCATAATATTGACAGTGAAAATTCATGAACTGTTTTGCATAGCATGATTAATAAACCATCAGACTTAATAAAGTAACACGGTATATTTAGTGCTGGATAGTTGAGAAATCACAGAATAAGTGAAGAAAGAGGTGAATTCATGCTTCGTTTTACTAAAAATAATGTTCAGCGAAGAAAATTTTCTTTATCGACGAAATCATCTTCAGAGGCTGTACAGTCGTATTTATACTTAGAAGAAAGTATTATTTATTTTATATTATTTTTCCTTCATGTTCCTCAGTGGAACATAGGGCTTCAAGCTAGTGGCTTGAAGTTTCTGTAGCAATGTTTATTTTACAGGATGGGGTTGCTAGCCTCATGTTCAACCTTTCCTCTTTACCAGCATTATTTCTGGCTCAGCGAGGTAAAGGAGTGAGTCTGTCGGGGATCGAACTCCGGACCATGTGAATGGTCGGCGAGCGTCCTAACCGCTATACTACCGACGCAAAAAAATGTACAGTGGTCTATTATTGAGTAATAGGGGGTGACATAATTGATATAATTAATCATAAGTGGCTTTAGAAGTGAAAAATTAAAATTGTAAATTACATGGTACTCAACGGAACAAAGACAGAAATTCGATAAGGTTAAAATTGCTATTGAGTGAGAATAAAGGTATCATTGATATAAGAATAAAACTTGTGCACTGTGGTAGAGTGTAATTCCATTATGGGTAAATTTTGTTTGATAAAGTCTCACAGCGTTATACAGTAATGTTTACTGATGACGTTTCGAGCACAATTTATTGCTCATAATCATATCAAGGTAATCACACGACTTCCTAAATTCATTTATATAGTTCCATTGTTTTTCTCTTGATTTTCACTTGATTTGATTGGTAATAGTATTTTCCATATTTCAGGTATGAGTGACGAGTCATTCCTATTGCATGTGTTGGGTGTAGACTCGATGAACAAGGATAAAGGTATTTGAGTGTCAATTTAACAAGTGTGAAATGTACAGAAGGAGCATATGAGATTGACAATAGTGAATTAATTATTAAAGCAAAAGAGACTAAAAGTAAAATTAAAAAGAAATGAAAAGGTCAAAATTTATTTACAATGAACGATTAGTGAAGAGGTGAAGACCAAGGTAGAATAAGAGACTGGACAAACTTTTTCTGTATACAGAGTTCAGGGTTGTATTGACGA